GTACGGCAAGACGTCTTGCGTAGTCCAAAAAAATCTACAAGGAGACGTTCATCAGAGCTCTGAATTGCTGAAATGTCTTTGAGACGCATTATGAGGAATGAGCTGGGGTGCCATCCGTACAAGGTTCAGCTAGTGCAACATCTTGAACCAAACGACTTTGAAGCACGGTTACAGTTTGCAAGAACTTTCTTGCAAACCTTTCAACAGGACAAGATTCATTTGCTGATGATGTCGGATGAAGCACATTTCCACTTAGGAGGTTTTGTTAAGAAACAAAACTTTCGATTTTTGGCCACAGAAAATCCAAAAGTTATGGAACAGAGGGACATGCACCCACAGCGTGTAACTGTATGGTGCGCCATAACGCATGATAGAGTGATTGGACCTTACTTTTTCGAAAATGGCGAAGGTGAAGCAGTTACTGTCAATGGTGAAAGGTATCGTTACATGATCGGTATCTTTCTTAAACCAGCAGTGAATGCTATTGACAATCACCATTCGTTGTGGTTTCAACAGGATGGTGCCACTTGTCATACTGCGAGACAAACCATGGACATCTTACGTCTAATTTTTGGAAACCAAATAATCTCACGTGGTGGTGACATTAACTGGCCATCAACGTCACCTGACTTAACTGCACTAGACTTTTTCCTTTGGGGATATTTAAAGGAAAGGGTCTACATTAATAAACCACGGACAGTTGATGCTTTGAAGCAGAATATAACAGATGAAATTCGCGGAATCAGTCAAGAAACTTTACGTGTTTTTATGGACAATGTTCTTTTGGGAGCACAATCATGTATTGCTGCTCATGGTCAACATTTGAGGGATGTTGTTTTTCGTACATAAGTTACGTAAACCTCTATGGGTCAGGTGTGTATTAATATTAAAATTACATTCATGAAATATTTTTTCTTCTTTTATGCGTCATTAATATCCCTACACTATTTTTGGCGGACCCTGTATATTATAAAATCACAATATCCATGAAACTACACACGTCAGAGGAACAAAATTGCCTTGGGAATTCTTTGTTCAATAATTTAATTCAAAAGTACTTGGTATGCCATATCTAAGGACAACAAATTCGAGATTGGCTCTGGATGGCTTGGAGAGATATGAATCTTATACTGCAGCAGCAGTGCTAAAATTACACTTGTTCCAGAAGTTTGACCGACTTCAATGACCGAAATCTGCATGTCCCCTTCCAGGAATCCCGGGATGTGAACCTCAATGAAAAGTATTTGTTATTCCCTTTCTATCTTCATACGAAATTCTAGGTTTGCACTTAACCCTAATCCAGGCAATGTGAGTCCGCTGGACGCACGACGACATATGTCGGTCTATTACTGTCATTATTTTTTTCGTAGAAAAATGATCTTTCGTGACTTTGTCACCTTGTTCGTGCTCTTCAAAAATACAAAGAAATTTACAAAGAAATACATTCCGTAACCGCAGCAAACGGCCTTATTTTACATGTGAGTCTGACAGACTCACCTTGCCCGGAATAGGTTGTTGAAAAGCTTGCCCGGATGAGGGTTAATTGCTTCATGAGATATAACCATTTGATTGCACCTGCGGTGCACCGTTTGCTACAACTGGGAATAATATTCGCAGAATTCCAATGAATTGATTGATCAAGTGCAATCTCTTGCTTCAGCTTCGAAGATTACTCCTTAAAAACAATTTAAAGACGACAAATTCGTAATTAAAATGACGCCAAAATGATGCACGTATTTCCACCTGAGTAGAAGTTCTTGCAGAAGCATTTTCCCAGTTTCCAGTCACCAGGGACGAGAAATATGTTACAATCATTTGCATATATCTGGAGATCTGTGTAAGAGGAAAATGGTTGAAATTGGTTTCTTCAAATCGATTCCTCTACATGAATGCCGATTTTTGTGATAATCAGAGGTGGTCGAACTGATGCTCTTGTCGATTTGGAATGGCCCGATTTGTTTTCATTGTGTAGGTTATTTCGGTTTGAATTCCTTTTTTAAATACAAATGATGACAAACTATTTGCTGAATATAACGGACCTTTACCTGCAATACAGGTATTTTCTTTCCAACGATGCCAATTTTGTTCCTCTGACGTGTATAGTTTCATTGATGTGGTTATTTTCCTAAGATACGTTGTATTTCATTTTCAAGTCCTGAAGAAATTCCGAGAGGAGGCTCGTACGCGGGAAATTTAATTTCGGCCTGTAATGGTGAAAGATCCAAACAAGCCGTCAAACTTGGTTCGACTGCTTCCACAATAAAGACTCCTTCTGCATCCCTCATCCAGTTGCCGATACATCCTCATCATAGCAATGGCCATTAGGATGGAGCGAGAACGTGAATATCTCAGAAAGTAGGTATGCTGATTTCGCTTATATCAGAAGAATCTGCAAAAATCTGCAAGAATCTCTACCGGCTCGCAACAGCGACGGTACGTAAGCCCAACGCACTATCCTAGTTAGAAAACGGAACCTTGAGGAATGACTTCATAATTTTAACTTTTTAAATTTTTCAAGGGGGAAGGTGAGGTGGTGAGGCCCCCTAATTCTGCTGTAAATTCAGCCGTCACCTCCACCCCTCCCGAGAAGTTTAGGAAGTTCTAGTGCCTGCTCATTTCCCCTAGCCCTCTATTGGCGAATTCCTGGTTTCGCCGCTGGCTATGACAAGAATAGACCAACTATACCCAGTAGAGGCATGTAATGTACATTGAAGTTCCTTCTTCCGAAAAATTCGTACTACATTAATAAAAGGTGGTTTTGCATATTTTCACATATTCGTGCAAAACGTATGCATATTTTGGCATTTTAAGCGCATATGTATGTGCTTATTTTTATGACTTATTGGAGCATAAAAGCCCACACCCTGGTGATAACCAAGCTCATCACCTTCAAACTGCTGGTCCTTCCATGCCAGACAACTCACGCCACTGCTTCTTCAGATACGACAGGCAGAAGAGCCCTCACGTCGTCTCCCCACAGGATATTATTCCCCTGCCTCAAGTTGCTCATGTCCCAAGATGAAACGCCGCTGGGGGTTAGACGACGGGAAACGCTGCCATCCTAACGTCCTCGCCTTACAAAAGGAGCTGCCTTTGTGCAAGTCCCCATGGAAAGCGAAACCAAAAAGAGACTGGGCAAGAATTGGACTCATGAGACCGACACAGACAGTCACAGACCACTGCAACGACGAGGCTCAGGCTGACATAAATAGGTATATATTATGAATTAAAACTTCGTATAACAATATTTGGAGGAGTACCCCATATTGCCCCCCAGGCCACTACATTTTGTCCCATGGGTGAGGCAAAGTGGGATATCTGACCACCATTCTTAGAATGGTCGGGAGGAAAAAACCGTATCTGATCTCGCGATGAAGTTGAATCCTTGTCGTAGGTAGTTCATGAAAGGCACCGCAAACCAATTCGCAACGTGTTGCGCCAACTCCTTGGTACTAAATGTTGGCAATTTCCTTAGCCGTTCCGTTCAGCCCCACCTTCGCCTACATATGCCCAAAAAAAACATGTTCAAGGATATGTACCTCAAGAGAAGAACGGTTCGTAATATACCTAGCCCAACAGGAACTCATGTACCGCTTCACTCTTTCTACAACTACCCCATTCCAATGAGCGAAACATACATTGGAAGAGTACAAACGTGACATTTCGTGTCCTAGAGAATGTACTTCCAAAAGATATGGCCCTTAAAATAACCTTTTCTAGAATTTCGCGTTCAGGATAGGAAATTACGTATTATGCTTTCAGGTGTTTTTTTCGTCACAAACTGGCATCTAAGCAGCTCCCTATGAGAAATGTATATTTCCACGTCTCTGTCTCTCCATGTCTTTTTGAACATGTCCATTTCCATGGCCTTTGGATGGAATGGATGAGCTAAGAATTTCTTGCATGCCAATTTCCAGCTCTTAATACTTCGGATGTCCGGGAAGTAATGAGAATCGTTTGTAGATTTGTAACTCTACAAGCAGTGCACTTCACACTGCCAGATATTTAGATCAATATGCAATCTCTGTGACTACCGGTTTTGAAGTGAATTCGTAGAGAAGTGCTTACAAATATGCCTCAAAAGGCAGCTATATAAGCTCAGTGCAACGCGGACTGTTTCCAACAACTTATATATGGCCACAAGCGCTGAGAACGTTTGCTTTAACGCATTCATATGGTTCAAACTTAGCATTGCGGCCGCTGCCTGTTACACGGAACTGGTCTACTCTCTTCCGGTTGTTCAGCAGCTTCAATGAAGCAACTGAAAGGAGAAGGAGCCTCCTTTTCTTAACCAGTCCCACAGTAGCCGTCCAAGGTCCACCCAGACACCAGAGCCTGTCGAGACGGTGCGGGAGCTGGTGGATGAAGACTACCAAGTGACTATTCGAGAGCTGTATGAGAGGCTCGACGTTGGCAAGTGCACTATGCACGAGGTGCTCACACAAAACCTGCAACTGTGCAACGTGGCATCAGCTTGGATACTACAACAACTGGCCGAGGACAACAAAGTGACTCGTATCAACGGCGTGAAGCACATCCGGGAATTTTTTTTACGCGAAGGCGTGGAGGCTTTCTGCAACAAGCTCAACAAGGCCTTTCGCAACAAGCTCGTTCCGTGTAACAGGCAGCGGTGCATTTGAACCACGTGAACGCCTAGAAACGAAAGTTCTCTGCGCTTGTAGAAACATCCAATTTGTTGAAAACAGCCCGCATTCCACTGAGCTGTCTCTTGAGGTCTGCTCTCTAAGCACTTCTCAACAGAATGACTTGAAAATCGGCAATCACAGAGATTACATATTGCTTTATATGTCTGAGCAGTGGAAATTACAGTGCATGCAGAGTTACACATTTACAAGCGATTCTCATTACTTTCTGGACACCCTAAGTATTTGCCCGTTTTGATGCTAAGAAAGGCTTTCCTCAAATTGGGATTCTCTCGAAATGTGTGCCTGAAGGATATAGAGCTCAAAATTAAGACTTGATGAAATTATCATTAACTAGTAAGTTTCTTTTCCCAAAGGGGTTGCTATGGTCGTGCCTTCGGCGCTCCACGGTCTACGAAATTGATGAATTAATTTGAAATATCCGTCTTCGGCCAAGCTGGTAAAACTTCTTGGGTCATGAGTATAATTATGGCTCTTTCAAGTTACTTCCCATTATGTGACGTCATTGACACATTTACGAAAGATATTTCAGTTTTTAAACATAGTCGTACCGATTTTTATTGGGTTGGCCGGAAAGTTCATGCAGATTCGGACAATATTTGAGAAAACAATTTTATTTTCAGGTTTTCATTGTCTTAGTTGCTAACATCCTCTTCCATGCAAAGCTAGCTACAATATATTTTTGAGAATGTGGTTGATTAAGAGATTGAACCAATGTGATTATTCGGTTTCATGCGTCCGATTCAGTCGGTACAAACTAATTTGACGTCAAAATTATTTGACGAAGACGACAAAAATACATACTCCGATATTTTTTCACCAGTGGACAAAGCTGCCCTTGAATCATGATCTGGGCATTTACACTTAATCACATGTTGAGGTCCGCTATCAGGTAACACCGCTTTCATCGTGTCATGATTAGGTGGAGAATGGCCATCCTCTATAGGACTTTTTCCTAAGCTTGACACGCTGTTCAGCAATTTGCTTTGCTAGTTTACTTTCGAGATGCCCTCTATCAAAGCACATTTGTCGACTGAGGTGAATTTTGAAGTAAATCAGTGACACCATTGGCCTATATCGGAATGTGAATGCTGATATGGATGTAGTTCACTACTTGCTGATCTGTTCAATAAAAACAGATTTTACGATTCGGTTTTTTTTCCCAGAGCCTCCTTTTTGGAGAAAACTATATTTCCAGAAATATTCCTTTTTATGGAAATGATACATTTTGGTTACCTAAATTTGGGACAGAAATTGTCCTCAGGTTCTGCTTTCAAGAAAAACTCAAATTTGGCTGCGGTCATTTTAATGTTGGCAGTGCTTCTCTCTCCTCCCAATTTTAAAATTAAATGTTGGAAGGTGACTTTCTGTTATCGCATCTGCAGTATCAGTCCCGGCAGTGCAAGGGAACATTCTGTTTCTTGGTATTTAACATGTGTATGGATGGAAAGGGGGTATGGAAGGAAAGGGCACAAACGCAGGGGGTATTTTCGGTAAATAATCATTATTTAATCATGCACAGTAGAATACATGGATATCGACACTGATTCCAGCCATTGATAGTGTCACGGTAAAGAAATTAAAAAACCTGCGACCCCGATGAGTGAGGAAGGGGGTTGATTGACTCCTGACATATACTTTCAGCCTCCGGCGATAGATGCCGCTAGCGAGCCCCGGGATTGTGAATAATAGGCATGTATGACAGTTAAAGTTAAATTTCCAAGTCAGTATAAAACAACCACGGAAGCCTCTAGTGACCATAGACTGAAGTGACTGCGCATAATGCGCTGTCGGGCATGGATATCTTCTTAAAATTCAGATAATATCTTAGTGCAGTTAGGTTCAGGCAGCCAATAAAGTGTTTAAAGTGGTTGTACGGGATAACATGCTATTTTTGGAAATACCTTAGAGGGATAGCATTCTTCTTCTTCCCGAAATGTGCATAGAAGATGAAGCCGATGAGAGTGTTCATTAGAAACCCAGAGAAGGTGATGAGCACTCCGCTTCCCGAATCGTATCTAAGCATTGAACAGAATAAACCCTTAGTGAGCCACACCATTCATTACAAAATACATCACAAGTAGCGTACTCCTTTGCCTACCGAGGATATGAAAATGACACTCTGAACTTGCGCTTTCCCTCCCATTGTTTGGCGGTATTTCCATTCAAGCGGTTTTTTTCGCTCTTTGGGCAAGAAAATTCCCAGTACTCAGTCTTTGGCGCTTGCATATTCTGAAGTGAACCTCAACGCTTTTAGGCATGTATCAACCTGACGTCAACTCATTTCCGAACTTGACCTAGGTTTTACGAAAAAAAACCTTGCAATACTTTTTTTCTCTTGTCTCGCCTTACTACTTGTCAACAAAATCTCAGCCAAAATATCAATAACTAGCGGGTTTGTTTGCCCTTCGGGCAAACAAACTCATTATTGTCGCGCCTTCGGCGCTCCATTTCCTGGATAGTGATTAATTCAATTATTTATTTTCATAGTGGCAAATATATTTTAGAAGTATTTGCAACGTTGAGAACAAGCCGATATTTTCATCGAATAATTACTCCCATTGTTTCTTGTGCCTAAATTCAAATCTCTTCATTATCTGACCGGAGGGGTCAGATTTGAAAAAAATAGGACAAGTACACAGCTATCGAACAGGTAATTCTTCTCCAAGTTTCTATTTTCTTTATTTCTCTCCTTCATTGAATCAGAAAACTTTCCAGAAAATGCACCTTTTGCAAAAAATAGGCCCTCAAGGGTTTTACAAATGAATTAACATTTTTTAGATACTGAAATCCATACTTAGAGAACTACATGCAGATCAAGTTTCAACCTTATCCGTTTAGTCTTATTGCTCGTAGCAAACATATTTTTGGAAAAGCCGATACAGCCAAAAGCTGTGCCTAAGGGGTAAGTACCATGAAACTTGACTTTTTTCTGGACTCACCATCACCTCAGTTATAGCTGTGTCAAGTTTCATATTTCCATCTCTGTACAATTCAGTGGACAAAAAATACTTGAAAAGGTCACCACCAAAAGATATGCCCCCAGGGCATGTACCCAAAACTTGACATTTTTCTGAAGTCAGGGTCTCAGTAGGTATGTCCATTTCGCGTTTCAGCTTTCCATTTTCATCCATTTGACTAAAGCAAAAACATATTAAAAAGGATCTCCCCCTGAAATTGGTGTCCCTAGGGCATTTACTTCCAAATTCTGAATTTTTCCTAATTCATGTTTCCAATAGTATCCAGTTCCACCTTTCTATCTCTGACCAATTCGGTAGGAATAAAAAAAATTTGAAAAGTCACCCCTCAAAAGTATACGCCCAAGGTATGCATCAGAAACGTAACATTTTTCTGAACTCAGGGTCCCAGTACGCACGTCCATGCCACGTTTCAGCTTCCCATGTCTTTCCGTTTGACTAAAGCAAACATATCTCATTAAAAAATCTCCCCCAAAAAAGGGTGCCCCCAGGCCATGTACCTACAAAGTCTGATTTTTTCAGAACTCTGCATCCCAAAACGTACATGTGTACCAAGTTTCAGGTTTCTAGCATCTCTAGGACATGGTTAGAATTAGCGCCAGTATGTCACAATAGTCTATAAATCTTCTAATATATAAGGTGAAATACCCAGTGATGGGCCAGCCCCCAGTGATTGGCCACGGTGCAGGAAAATTCAAAGAACTAATCATGCAAAGCTCGCACACGTATATCATAACATTACTTTACTTTAAATTTAGAGCAAAAGAGGGGAGCCTTTTAGTTTGCATTCTCTGGCCCGTGTGAAGTCAGGCATTTCCACGTGGCCGACTGCCGATGAAGGTTGCCCACCCCTGATGGTTGGAATTATGATCAGTCACTCACATGTATTTTTATAATTATTGAGACATTGTGCGAAGCAAATTGCGTCCCAAAGTCAAACACAGAAGGAGACAAGAAGAGGTTTCAACGTCACTAGAAGATGAGTAAAATGAACGTGTATTAGTCAAGGAGTTCAATGTTCATCAATCTTGTCATGGCTGAGATGGATGATGTAAAAAATCTCTTGGTTTTGCACTGGTATTCACGAATTGGACGCCATTTCCGGAGGTGACTCTGGGGGCATTGCCGTAGGAGGGCATATGTATATGCTATACATTAGATAAGAGGAGTTCAAAATGTCCATGCCACTAGCCCAATGCGTCCGCATGCTTCAATATATCAAGGTGTATCGATGGTTGTCGTAGTATTTATGTCTCTCTCCTTCTTCCTAAGTTATTTCGCTGGTATGACTGATACTGCTTTTGGTGAATTGATTTTGACTTTTTTCAAAGCATGCTTTAAAATGTGAATTTTACACTCAAGACGTAAACAGCAATGGGGAAGTTTCTTGAGGTACGTTAAGAGGGAGCCGTGGACATTCAGAAGACTAGTAAGAGAAGTACTTTCGAGACTCCCGCCTTTCCGATTATGCTGTCTGCAAGATAGTTAGCTGCTGGAGGAATTTCCACCAAAGTGGAGCCCGTTCTGTTAGAAACAGAGTTGCTATATCCCAACGAGTTACTACGTATAACGTGTGGAATAATTAGTTATGTTACATCGACGCATGTTCATTGTAGAAATCGCAGGAAGTCTAGGACTCTCTAACGGAACACTTGTGAAAATTCTCCTCGATTTGTTAAGAATAAATAATGTTACAGCCATCTGGGTCCCACGCATGTTTTCAGAGTGCACAGACCAAAGCCGTTAGAATATTTAATTGAAGGTGACATGAAACGCGAGTACCTAAGGAATTTCATGGACCGTAAAATAATTATTGTGGGGACATTGACCCCTCATTTAATCTTGAGGCCACGAAAAAATCTAAATAAGGGAAACACAATGGTTTTACACTGCCTGAGAGGTTTCGACAAATTGTTTCAAATGAAAAGATTCTGAACGCCATTTTCTTGCACAAGCTCTGCTTCATTTGTGGCTCATGCTGTTCTGAGAGCCAAACCATCAAAGGCGAATATTATCGACGCCTACTTGAAACAGAGCTTTGTCGTCAATAGACAAGTTGCACAATCAAGTGGCAGAAGGAAATGTCACATTTCAACAAGATGTCCATGTTGTGACAGTTTTTTTCAAATATGATGTTAAATGTTTAAATGTTTATGATGGGAGATTTTATTTATATCTGTACTGGAATTTTATGGAATAAACATGTGGTGTCACATGGTGAAGGGTCTTCGAATTTTCAACATACTGTACAATCGTTCACATAACCTCGATTTTCCACCAGAGATACGACACAGATACATACAAAGATGCGTCAAATTATGTCTGAGGGGTCTAAGATTAAGATAGTAATGTAGTCTGCCATCCCTAGATATTGTGACATGATTCACGGGATTGCAATTGGTAATTTGTATGGAATTTCTTAAAGCAGCGAAACAGGCAATAATTATTTTAAAATGTTTCTTCCCCACCCCATCCTCTCCAGATCAATGCATTTGTCTGATATGGATTTTCAGAGAAGTAGCCTGGTGTCTTGGAGAGAGTAACGATATCATTTCACTTTGATATATTTGTTATTTACAGTACCAGAATGTCCCTTTAAAATTGCAAAGAGTAATACACTGGAGTAAGAGCACAACAGTTCGAATTCCCCAAAAGTCTGTGTAGCCTCAAAGGTGCTATACATTATTGCATTGGGAATGAAACGATCATCTCTACTTTATTTACGATCACCACAATATGGTCAAGTTTGAAATGAAAGAGACTTACTTTATCAGTGCCTCCAAGAAGATGACATTGGAGCAACATGTAGGGAATGTCAAGATGGTGATGATTAAAGGATGCATATTGCGTTTTAGGATATTGTTGTGAGTATTGCACTCAAGGAGGCACCATATGCAGTCCCACTTCAATTACAAGTTCTCCTTCAAGACCTTCCGCTACCGCATCTAAGGAATTTTCACAATCGCATTTGCAGGGTTCATATCAGGAAATAGTACAAAAAAAAACCAAAAACTATCAATAGTGAAATAATGAAGTAAATAAAATGTCCCACATAGAAACTTATCTTCAAACAGGCATAGTGAAACTCGTGGCAAGAGAAACACAAAGTTGACTTATTCTTGTTGACATTCATGGCAAATAATTGAAAACTGTTCATGGAGAAGTATGAATACGTTATGTCGAGTCATGGCCATCTATCATTTCAAATGGATAGTAAATATTAGCCGAGAGCTTGAATAATGCCTCATCATTGGATTCCTGCAACCACTGCCATTATATTATACTAGCGAGTTTGTTTGCCCGAAGGGCAAACAAACTCGCTATGGTCGCGCCTTGAATAGTGATTAGTTAATTCATTTTTTGAGAAATGGGAAACACTTATTAAAAAGTACGTCCTCATTGAACATATGGGGTCGAAAGTCTTCATTTTTATCAAAATCATTACCTCTATGATTCTATGCGTGCATAACTTGAAATCTTTTCTTGTGTCTCTTTTTGTAAGGGTGGAGAATACATTTTGAAATACTTCCCTCCAAGATTCTACGCTAAGGAGACATATTTCAAAAGTAGGATTTTTCCTGCACTCAGACATCAAACAGGTACTTCTGAGGTAAGTTTAACTTTTCTGTCTCTGTTTCGTTGGATCAAAAAAAATCACGAAAATGGGTCCGAAAAAAGTGCCCTAATGGCACCCAGTTTCAGCCTGATACGTTTCCCTCTTTGCTGGCGGAAAATATGTATTTGGAAAAACGACCTACCCAAAAGCTGTCCTCTGAGGAGACTTAATAAAAAGTTTAATTTTTCCTTAAATCAACATTACGGAAGTAATGCGTGCGGCAGCTACTTTTCTATGTCTACCCGGTGAACTACATAACTACAACGTTTCAATATTATACGTTTGCCCTTTTCGCTGGTGAAAAAACGTGCTTGGAAAACCCGACCCACGAAAAAGCTATGCCCGGAGGGGATGCACCAGGAAAGCTGAATACTCCCTCAGCTCTCTAATATCATTTTTCTTATATACGTGTGCCAAGTTTCACCTTTCCATTTCTGTCTAATTCGCCACGACAATTTTTTTTTTTGCAAAACATCGCACCTCGAAAAATTTCCTTAGCAGTTGTATCGAGACATGAAATTGTTATCTAACTCCTTGTCTCAGTAGTCACATTCATGCAAAATTTCAGGTTTTCATGTTCAACAGTTTAACTGATTAGTTCAAAACATCTCCCTTTGAAATTTGTGCCCCCAGGGCAATTACTTCCAAAATCTGAATATTTCTGCAGCATCCCAATAGGTAGTTATGTACCAAGTTTCATCTTTCCACAATAGCTCAATACGCCAGGACAAAAAAATTATTGAAAATGTCGGCCCCAAAAAACATCCCCAAGGCCATGGATCTATAATTTGCTTTTTTCCTGAACTTATCGTCTCAGTAGCCACCTCCATGGCAGGTTTCAGCTTTCCGTGTCTCTCCGTTTCATTCAAGCAACAGGACATGGAAGGCAAGAGAAGTAGAAAAAAAATGCATGGAGTGGCAGGGAATTAAACCCAGGCCCCGCGATTACCAGTCAGATGTGCTACCCCTACACCACCGAAACTTGGACTTACAATGGTATCTCTCGATGACATCCTTATCCATCACGATATATACATTTAAAAAAAAAACGCGTCATGTATGAAGCCTTATGAATCCTTTGCGGATAATCTAGGTTCGTGATACGTTCATATGGCGTTGGAAACACCAAAAAATTGGTTTTCTGAAAGTTTCATGAACCAAGGTCGATTATGTACCTCCAATATCGGTTTTTTCCTGAACTCTGCATCCCAAAAGGTACATATGTAGCAAGTTTCAGATTTCTAACGTTTCTAGAACATGGTTAGAATTACCGTAAGTCAGTCAGTCAGTCAGTCACGATCGTCTACATATATTAGATTCTAGAGGCTCCTGACACGGTCAGAAAGAACTGGAGAGGGGGAGAGAGAGAGAAAACTGATTATCAGCATGCAACTAATGATTTTAGCGGACGCTAGTTCTGTACTTTTTTGGACCAAATAGCATATATGGCAAATAGTGTACAGCATATACTGTACGCAGTGTGACTCAAGGGTTCAGTGGATCGTAGTATTTATGCAGTAAAACAATTCTTAATAAACTAAATAACCCATGCTTTTGCACTGAAGTTTTAAAGGGTTGGAATATTAGGTTATTTCTGAAGTCATTGTGCCTCTTGTTAGCGACATTGTGCGTATATAGATTATTCATCTGCCTCCGCCCGGAAAAAGTAATGTTGGTACTTCATCTTCCTATAGTGTCTTAAATAGCCTAACAGCAAAAATAAATATTGTCCCTATCCAGTAAAGGAGATAACCAATATAATGTGATTTTGGCCCTTAAACCGAATTCCATTATTAATATATCATTTGAAAGGGTTTGGTTTGCAAAGTAATAAAATGTCACTTTTACTCGAAAATGAAAGGTTTCAAAAAGTTAGATTGGGTTAATTTATGTTTGGTTAAGCTGGTTACTATGAAGAAAGAGAAGTCATAACTTTATCATTACGTCCAACCGTTTTGAGGGAAGGGAAGATTTACCAATTTTCTACTCGTGCTCACCGATTACCGAGGTAGAACATGACATTGATTCAACGTTGATTTAATGTGGATTAATTATATCAATGTTGAAGGTTCACACTTCCATTTTGAGTCGTCATAGATTCAACTCAACAACTGTCAGCGTTTCTGCCCCCACATTGACTAAACATTGGTAAAATGCTGCCTTATTCACGGTGGAAGTGTCAACATTAAATCAGCATCGATTCTTGTCCTGAAATTCCATCTACCTCGTGCGCGGAAAGGTCCATTTTATGACTCCACTTTCTGCGTCTGTCGATATTTATTCAGTCGACCTTGGTTCATGAAACTTTCAGAAAACCAATTTTTTGGTGTTTCCAACGCCATATGAACGTATCACGAACCTAGATTATCCGCAAAGGATTCATAAGGCTTCATACATGACGCGTTTTTTTTTGGGCCACCCAGTATAACAGTCCGTTGGGCTGAAACTAAAATATTATTTATTTGAAAACGTCCTCCCAACAAAAAATAATTCACCCAGTTCATTCATTAGGCCCATTCATGTTCTTTTCGAATTTTCTACGTCCCTGCGTCTGGCTGTAGAAAAATAAAATAGTTTATAACGTCCCACTGAATAAATATTATCCCATAGCGTATACGTACAAAGTTGGATTTCTTCTGAACCCCACACCTCAATAGCTACTTGTATACCAAATTTCTGATTTATAACTTCTCTGGAATATCCAGTGACTCACTCAGTCACTCTCAATCGTCTATATATGGGGAGGTTTAAGAAAACACTCTACCATTTTATATGAGAGAAAGACAGTTTAATTAATGCAAAAAATTATATTGGATATTTGACAGTTACAAGGTGTTGAAATACTTGGCAGCTTTGTTTCAGCACCCCTGCCTAAATCTGCCATTTAGAAACAAATTAATGATGCCTAGAAGTGGATCATTCCACCTCAAGTGAGGTGATTACCAATGCTCGACCATCTCTGAATTCAATGAACTTTTCAACTTTAACTTTTCCAGGGACAATTGGATCCAGCTTATACTTCATGGCGAGGGTCATGGGTCTAAAAGGTTTTTTCACTTCCGCAAGCTGTATCCCGATAGGGGGCGCTGTTTCTGGCCGAGTGACCGAGGGTGATTAAAAAAAGGTGTTATGCTCCACCTGTAAACTGTGTAACAGGACAATTCATGTCTCAAAGAATTGTTCAGAAAAAACGGCAATCATTTCAGCATCTTCTATATGTCCAACTTCAAGAGTTTATGAACCTTATATATTTTTTACTCGAATGCACGAATAGTACTTTCTCACTTTTGAAAACGGGAAGCTTTCTTTTAATTACTCTTTCACCCGGTCAACAACAGCGCCCTCTAGTGGGACACAGCACATCTTATGGAAGGAAAAAAAACCTTGACTCGTGAACCTTTCTGTCATGTATCAGCTGGATCCAACTGTCCCCTGAAAAGTTAAAGTTAAAAGATTCATTGAATCCTGATACGGTCGAGCACATGTAATCATCTCACTTGAGGTGCAATGATCCACTTTTAAGCGCCTTTAATTCACCTCTATAGGGGCATTGCACGACTTATACTGGGGTGCTGAAAAAGAGCTGGTTTGCACTGTGTAAATTGCTAAGCAATTTACACATTGTAAATGTAAAAAACGATATCTTAACCAATGCAATTTGCTTTCCTGCATTTATTAAACGGTTTTCCCCCTAGGAATCGGTAGGGCGTTTTACCTAACCACCCGAAATGTTAGATAAAAGTATATATGCGGTATACCGCATCTAATATATATAGACGATCGTAACTGACTGACTGACTGACTTACGGTAATTCTAACCATGTTCTAGAAACGTTAGAAATCTGAAACTTGCTACATATGTACCTTTTGGGATGCAGAGTTCAGGAAAAAACCGATATTGGAGGTACATACCCTGGGAGTACACATTTTGGGGGAGAAGTTTTTTTTAAAAAATATCTCATGACGTATGAGGATGGGATTCAGAAAGTCGATTGGATATCCTGGGTTCGGTGGTGTAGTGGTAGCACATCTGACCGGCAGTCAGGAGGCTGAAACTGGCATTGAGTTCCCTGAGTCTACATTTCAAAAGGAAAAAAAAATCCTTAAAACCCATCAGGGCACTTTTTTAAGTACCATTTTCCTGAATTGTGTTGGATCCAACGAAACAGAGACAGAAAATGTAAACTTCCCTCAGGAGTACCTATTTAATGGCTGAGTACAGGAAAAATCCAACTTTTGAAATACGAGGTGTGGCTATTAAGTTTCCAGACTTTATTTTTTAATTATGTATTTTTAAACTTACAAATTAATCACATTTATCGCCTTCAAAGTACTCCCCGCCAGAACGTATACACTTATCCCAACGATGCTGCAGTTGCTGAAAACAGCGGTGGAAGTCTT